CAAAGACCACAGAAGGATAGTATATAAACTCTAGAAATGACTGAGGCAACTCACTGGTCAGTCACCCGAAGTTCTTCTGTAATGTTCCATCTTCAGCCTATAGGCCATAGTGTGTCTAGCACATTCCTCAGCAAAGGAGGAAACTAAACTATCCACCTGTATTGACAGTTTGTCAGTCACTTTTCTGTGTCCAGCAGACTGGCAGACTCTTCCATGAAGCAGGAACTCTGTAACAATGTCCATCGTGCATCAGCAGTCACTTTCCTGTGGGGCCTGCATGCCCAGTTTATACAGAATAAAGTCAAACAGTCCAGACAAGGGCAGTATCTTGTCCAAATAGCTAGTCTTGTAATATTGGAAGCAAACTTCATAACGAGTTACTTCGATGTCCATCTTCCTTTCTGAAGCAGGTGGTGTTGCCAGGAGCATTTGTGCTTCACTGTCAGGAAAAGCACTAAATCATTTTAAATGCCATATTCTGTAGGTCTTTGAAAAGTTTGAAGTATGCCTATTCATCTTAAATACATCTCTCTATATATCTAGAAATCCTAACTAACTTAAGTATAAGTTTTGACTATCATAGGTACTATCTATAACCTGTATTGAATTGTACATTACATTTCTACACAATACCTAAACAAGAGGAGAAATATACATATCACAAAATTGACCTTAAATTGTATCAATAAAAGAAAATCCATTCCAAAACAAAGTATTCATATCTATACCATATTTCCCTTTTTTACCTTTAAAAGAATTGGTTGTGATCATTAACCATGTATAATCAAGTCCATTTAAATGGAAACAAACATTTGGGAATTTGGGAGCCGTTCTATCCAAACTGCTTCCTGCTGGTATGGGGCACTGTCTTGGGGATCCTAAGAAAATGAAGAAATCTTGGCTGTAGTCTGCAAGGCTGCCTCGTTCCAACTGTTTTGAATGTTGTATCACCTGGGACACTGTTTCAGGGGTCTGGCTTGTTCAAACCATGTTAGTCTGGAAGGAATCCACAGCTTTCATTTTATGTGGAAACAAAAATGCCAATCCTTTTCCCCAGTAACCTGTCCTTGAACTTAAATTTTGCAATCAAAGAATTTTTTAAAATATATACATTGAATTAACCCAGCAGCATTTTCTTTAACAGTATCAAACGATACAAAGACAATATAATGCCATACAGTATCCAGATTTTCTTGGTACTTTTCATCTTTATGTGTCTTTTTTATTATGCTGTTTTTTTTTTTTTTTTTTTTTTTTTCATTTTTTGAGACAGGGTTTCTCTGTGTAACTTTTATCTGTCCTGGAATTCACTCTGCATACCAGGTTTACTTTGCAATCACAGAGATCTGTTTGCCTCTGTCTCCCCAGTGCTGGGATTAAAGGCATGTGACACCACACTCAGCTCCTCTCTGTCTTTTAAAACCATTTTAGTCCTTTTCTCTCCCAAGCCTACATATATGTTAGAACACACAGTGAACCTTTAGTGCTTTTTTTTTTATGCGAATCTGTCTTTACTGTAAATATTTATCTTTTTCTGGCCATGAGTCTTTTATCTGGTAAAGAACAACATTGCTAAAATGAAAGTCATAGCTGTGTTATCCACGGTCTATCAAAGATGCTGGTGGCTATTTTACCGCTAGCACTGAGAGCTGTGCTCACTGCCTTGGTCTGCGCTGCCACCCAGCAGCATGTTGCCGGCTTGGAGATATGGTCATTGCCTTTGCCAGCTCTCTACACACCAATAAATTGTTAGCAGTGCTTCTTTAAAGCCGTGCAGTTTTTTGCTGCTTATGCTAAGTCAGGAAATCTCCTTTAAGGAGCCACGCAAATCTTTGCTTGTCTCTCACAAAACAAAGTCCAACCCCCCCCCAAAAAAAAATGCTGTTAGCAAGAAACCTTGCTTGTCTTTGTTCTTTTGTTTCTAAAACCCTTTTTTAAGCTTTTGTTAATTTTTAAGTGGAAGTTCTTATTAGCCACATTGCGGCATCATATAGGTGCCATATGTAAGGAGTAAGGTTCCGCTCCCCCCCCCCCTGCTTCGCAGGCCTGGACCCACCATGGCGCAAGCCCCAATGAACATACAGACATGCTGTATTTTATATAATGCTGTTGGCCAGGTACTAGTTTCTTATCAGTAGCTCTGTCTTAAGTATTAACCCATTTCTATTAATCTAAGTATTTCCACATGGTCTCATCTTACCGGAGAGTAGGGAGCCAGTGATTCTGCTCTCTCCAATCTCTCTATGTTGACTCCTCCCTACTACTTCCTCTCTCCTCCTTGTCTCCTACTCCCTCCTATCTTCCTTTCCCATTGGCCAACAGTGCTTTTTTCATTAAATAATAAGAAAAACATATTTACAGAATGACATCTCCCATCAGAGAATGAGTAGGACACACACAAGGGGAGAGATGTAAAAGCCACATGGTTGAATGTAGTTTAATAAAATATGGGTTAATTTAAGTAATAAGAGTTAATGAGTCATGCCTAAGGTAAGGCTGAGCTTTCATAATTAATAATAAGTATCTGTGTCATTATTTGCGAGCTATATACCCAAAGGAAAGTCCACTTACACTGGACAAGAAAAGACAGGAGCATTTCTGGGACTCAAAGACAGACTAGACAACTTAGCAAGATTCAGAACAAATGAGGAACTTGTCTCACAAAATAAGGTGGATGTTTCCTGAGGACTGACAAGTGCACTTGGCCATTTGTACACCTCTTTATGCATAAGCAATTCCACACATACAAACATGCACATATACACATATAAATGAAAAAATAAACAATAATCTCATAAAATGCTCATAATTCATTAGCAAATGACTAATCATATACATAAGATAAACACTGCCCAACCAGAGATGATTATGATAGAGAGATTAGAAAATGATGTGTTGGATCTGGATACTAAGAAATTACACCTGTTACTTTCTGTAAGACAATAAAATGGTATGGTATGGCTAGTGTGAAAATCCTCATGTCATGTCAGTTCCTCAAATTATCACACACATGGAATGACTGAGCAATTCTCTAATCACAGATAATTGAAACATGGTTTCCCTGAAACTTGTATTTGTGTGTGTGTGTGTGTGTGTGTGTGTGTGTGTGTGTGTGTTGCAGCAATTTTCATATTAACCCAAATTAAAATTAAGGCAAATGTACGTTTTATTATAAAAAATGTCTATACAATTGATTATTAATCAGGTGTAGAAGGAAATGGATAGAACTTGAGGACAATATGATACTGGAATGAAACCAGACACAAAAGCAGTGTAGGATGAGATTTCATTCCTCTCCTTCACAACTGTTCTGAATAGGCAAATCCATTGACAAAGGAAAAGGATTAATTGTGATGGAGCTACAAAGAAGGGAAGAAGAAAGAGGATTTAAAAAACTTCATAGTTCCTGTTAATGCTGGTGAAATCTTCTGATATGAGGTTGTGATGGCTACAGAAAGTGGTGAAAAGTCTGAAAACTTTGAAAGTGGTGCACTTTACACTCTGATTACTATGCCCAGACACACAAACCAACATAAATTACAATATAAAGAAAAGGGAAAGAAACCATACATTACAGGAGAAAGAAGAGTGGAGGATGGATGTACTCATAGTACCTAAATGGATGTGTCAAAGCTACATTGAAGGATCATCAAGTACAGATATCTTATTGTGAATAGTTCATGACCACCAAGTCTCAGGAGAATTGTGTTCAAATGATAGAAAACAATTACATCAACTTTCGTATCAAAGAGCTGAAAATTCTATTTCCCACATTTCAAATTCAATATTTCTTACCCTCTATAAACAACATGGAACATTTATACAGTTTTTCTTCTATTATGTTTCTCTAAACTTAAGTGAATAATAAATTTCTAATTGTTTGATCAGAAATCATAATTTTAGGAGAGAACTGTATAGCAGAAAAATTAATAGTAACATTTACCAGCTTCTGAAATCATTTTAATACCATGTTAGTTATCACTTATCAATTTGAAAGGCCACAATGGTGTTATTAATTTTGGTTACAAACAACCTGATCTATTTGAATGTTCAAAGCAGCATTATTTAGGTTAATCCAACCCAGGAAAAAAATTAAAATTTCCATTTACTAATAAAAATATAATATGAGCACAGAAGGTGTTTTACAGTTGTTGAAAGATGATGTAATCTACAACAGTGATATGAAAGCTGTAGGCTGTAGTTTGATGAGGGATGATAACTCTGTTTTTTTCCTTTTAAACTAGGTTTATTATATTCAACTGTATATTACATGATAAAATGCAGCAAGGGAACACAAAAGTCTCTTCATTTATTTGTTACTTAGGGATATATAATAGATGTTGAACTGAATCTCATAGAATGCACTTGACCAAATACATGTATTAGTTCTTTCATGACATGGTCATTATATGTTTTGTAGGATAGACTTTGAATGCTGGGAATGTAATGGGAGATATTGTTCTGTAAATATGTTTCTCTAATTGGTTAATGAATAAAGCACTGTTGGCCAATAGGAAAGCAAGATAGGCAGGACTAGGAGAGAAGGAGAATGCGGGAAGTAGTAGGGGAGAGAGTCAACATGTAAGACAAACAGAACAGAGGTCCCAATCCTGTCTCAGGAAAATGAGACTACATGGAAATAATTAGATTAATAGAAATGGGTTAATATTTAAGACAGAGCTAGCCGATAAGAAACTAGTAACTGGCCAATAGCATCTAATATCTAATACAGTGTCTCTGTGTGTTATATGGGGCTGGCACGGCTGTGGGACCAGGCTGGTGGGAAAAAACACTCATAACAGGGATGTACTACAATGATAGAATGCTTATCTAGTTGATGCCCGGACGTGAATTGCTTCCTCAACTTTTTCACTTCCTCCAATACATTTCATATGCTGACTTTAAAACATGTTCTCTTTGGTGATTATTTTTATCATATGTCTTTGTTTTTGAACATATTAGAATGACATAATTTTTTGTTGTTGTTTTTGTTGTTGTAGATTCTACAAAGAAATTAAAGGACGTTCTTGAAGAATTTCATGGTAATGGCGTGCTTGCAAAGTATAATCCTGAAGGGGTAAAGCTTCCTTTTTTCTTTACCAGTTTAACAATGTGCTTGTTGGGTGAATTTTCTCCATGGAAAATTCAACAAAATATGTATTTGTGTGTTTATATAAGTGCACATATACATATACTCCTGTATATGTATATACACACACACATATATGTATATACATATACATTTATACACTTACATGTGTATATCTCACATACCATAAACCATTAGCACATTCCATACAATAAAGTTCATAAATAATTGATATTTTGGCAAGCCATTAGATATACCATATTTTTGATACAACATTTATTAATGAAAATATTCCCAGAGTTCATGTGCTTAAAAATGGATATTACTATAATATATTGTTTGAAGATTTTTCTAGAATTAGAAAACAGGATTAGATAGAAAAGAAGAAGGGGCCACTTAATTCTTACCTCATGATCTGCAGTGTTTAATCCAAAATGAGCATGTAGAGGACAGGGAGTAACTACTTTCAAGAAATTATTCTTCAAGAAGACTTTTGAGGTAGGTGTATGCATGGTAGCTTAAGGAGCCAGCTAAAGAACAATTAAACTTCCCTTTTATAAATTTTCTGTTCATAAAAATTTTTCATGATCCATGAATTCATTTTAAATATCATTATGTTACAGAGTTCATTTCCAACTTATTTATTAACTAAATCTCTACTTAATATCCACTGATAGATATTTTTATTTGAATGTCCAATCAAAATTTCTCTTACTTCATGTGCACACTCACCAACTGAAATTTGAATATATAAAAAATATCTTTGCAAAAAATAAATTATGTCTAAATATGTCATCAAGATAGATTTGTTTGCATATTGAAGGGTGACTTTTTGGTTTTGTATATTTATAAGAACATAATTTCTGTTTATCTTTCAAGATTTTTCTTCTGTGGGATATGTAGCCCAATGTCTAAATAACAATCAAAGAGTTTTCATAAAGTTGTATAATTCCCACAAGTATTTCTCACAGGTTTTTTTTTCCCTTTGAGAAGACCTCACCATGTAACTCAGACTATTCTCAAACTTGCATACTCTTTCCCCAGTTATTCAAGTGTGAAGAATGCATACATACAATACCACATCTGCCTTCATTTCATGTTTTCTTATTTTCTCAACATATGATAAATAATTATAAATGCCAAAAGTAAGACATACTTTACTTTCTTCTTTTGAAAATGTAATTTTGGTGATTTCTAATGAAAAGGAATCAGAAATTTTGGTGCCATTTCCTGTATCTGGTGCTTAAAAAAACCACACACATGGCCTGTGTTTCCCTACTATTTTTTATTGTTGTTGAGAAAAAAAGATAGAATTAGTGGATAGGAATGTAAAACAGAAAATCTCAAAGTCCAGGGAAATAGATTGGGGTAAAGAGAGTAGACAACACCAATGACTGAATTGCTGTCAAACTGCAAATTCCTTTAATACTCATTGTTGCAGTAATACCTGAAAATACACTTCATTATATGTAAACTTAAAAATATTTATCTTCTCTAAACATAACATCTTATCCTCAGTTGACTTAGGATTTGTATGTAGCAATATTGTTTGCACTGTAATACATTACTCTTAAGAATTTCCTGTATAAAAACCTCCAAAACACTCTTATTATTATGATCTATTTCATGCTGATTAACAGTCACCATAGGATTTAGCAGAGTAATTACTGTATATGTTATTAAATACAATATAATGTCAGACCTTTCAAAATGTGCTACCCTTCCATAAATATGCAAATTTATTGAATGCAGTAAGATAACATTTGAAAAACAGAAAGTTAGATTTCATTATGACCCACTAGCAACTCTAAATTAAGAGTAAGGAGAACAAAATTACTGTTTAAACTGAATGTTAGTAAGAACTTTTCCCTTTAAGAGAAAAAATTAAAGCTATTATGACTCTTTAAGAACAGATCTGTGTTTTATAAAAGCTACTAGAAAATAATTAGGACTACCTATCATTGAATATAAAACCACTCAAGATTTCTTGCTAGAGATCTCAGCTGGTTAATTAACAAATGAAACAACATTATCAAACTATCCTTACTCTCAAAACATAGGAAGTTATTAACTGTCTTGACTAGTCAGATTGCCCCAAATTTATTTGGCATTATTAACTATTTTTAAGTGATAATTTATATTTAAAAAATAGAGTGTTTAACCAAGCTTGGTTTTAGAAATGATAATTGAGCACTTGCTTTAAAATAAGCATAACTTTTATTATTTCTATGAAATATGTTTGCAAATTGAAAGCAGGCATAAAGTCCTTGAGTTTTACTTACTTCTGTAAACAGGTATTAAAATTTCTTTTTGTTTATATTTGGCTAAATTTTTTAGTCAAGAGGTTGTGTTGGAAACTTTTATCAAAGAAAGTGTGGTCTTTTTAGAATTTTTTTTAATAGTAAAGAAATACTAGATAAAATACATGGACAGAATTAACTACTGTTAATTTTTTTATTTAAAAACCATTTTCTACAAAAACTATGTAAGGGAAATCTAAAAAAAAAAGTTTTAATTGTTCTCTAAAAATTAAAATCTTAAAAATCCTTGTATTCTTAAATTAATAGAAGTAATGTTTTGAAACAAATTTATTTTCATGAGGTGAAATGATGCTTCTCATGAAAGAAGTGAATTTTGGTATATGAGAAAATTCGGCTTGATCTTGCATGTTGGATTGTTTTGTTTGTTTTTGTTATGGGTGTCAAATTTGGTTATAAAATATTTCAGTCTTTTAAGGCATGGAGGGCAACTTAGTATGTTTTGCTAGTGAAAGAAAAGAATATATACATATATACATATATGTATATACATATATATATATATATATATATATATCGTTACCCTCTCAGGAAGTTTTAATCATATTGTGTGTTATTCATTATATTTTTTTCTCATCACTAGGAACTATAGTCATACATATACATATACTCAAAGACTTGTCTAGTCAGTTGTTCTCAAATTTTGTCTACATCATGGAGATGGAGTTTCCATTCTGTTCTGTTCCAACAGACTTACAGAAGTCTACTGAAAGCATGGACTGTTGCCTGTCTCCTTTCTGTTCTAGAAGCTCCTTGAGTGTTTCTGGAGCTCGGCTCATGATTTGCTTTTCTGACAGTTTCTCAGTGTATGTTGATGCTATTGTTTTGCAACAACATTTTGAGACTCATTTGCACAGTATACATTTAAATAATCAATACATAATCTTTAACTTTTAGAGAAAATATCAGCAAAATATGAAAATGGGTTCAAATTCTCTTACATTAACACATGTATTCTTTCTTTCCTTGCATGCACAGAAACAAGACATTCTTAACCAAGTAAGACATTTTCTTTTCTCTTGAGACCTTTCTTCTTATTTGAACTATGAATTCCTTACCCACCACTAAGTTATCCTTATATACTAACTAGGCCCTCATAGCATACTAGATCACCTACAATACATAAAGTTGTAAGTGAACTATAGAAAATGTCCCAATTACTATTCCTAGTAAAGATCTGATACCTTGACAAAATGAAAATGTGTTCAACATATGGATTTTGGTTTTAGAGAATCTGGAGTTTAATTTCCTAATTTTACTGGGTAACCAATCATATTAGTTTAGGGAAAGTTAATTTATTTAAAGAAATAGTTAATTAGTTCACATTATGTGACTTAAAAACTGAATGTAAAATCTAATAGTAAGGTTTTTTGTTTTATTTTGTCCATAATTCTTTGTTAACTATGTGGAGAGAAGAGGAGTTTAAGGCTAATAATATTTCCCTCTGGGGAGAAAGGTAAGCATCATTACTTCAACAGTTTGCACCAATGAATTCTATTCTGTAAACAAAACTCTGTTAGTTCAGTTAAAGGCATAGAATATCTATACATTATTTGGTACACTAAATAGGTGTTCCCAACACAGTAGAAATGATAGTAGACAGGTTTTCTCAATTTAATGCCATTTCTAGACCCAGGGAGAAGTCTCCATGGTCCACATGCTTATTGTGTAGATATAAGGACCTATTTCAGATACCTAGAACCCACCTCTCGTCGCCATAAACATGCTAACATATATATGCATATGTATTTTTACATCTCTATTGCTGTGGCATAACATTGTAACCAGGCAACTTATGGGAGAAAGAGCTTGTTTGTGGGTTAGGGTTTTAGGGTGTTACATTCTATGATGACTACAGTGTGAAGCATAGCACTAGGTATGATGCTGGAGCACTAGATGAGAGCTTACATCTTGTAAGCTCACAACCACACAGTAGAAGAGACAGAGACAGTGACAATTGCAGTGTTTAAAACCTAAAATCTCACTTCAGTGTCACAACTTCTCCAACAAAGCCACATTTGTTAATCTGTCCCAGATGGTTCCACCAACTGGTGACCAAATATTCAAATATATGAGCCTATATATAAGAGATATTCATATTGTGATGGATATGTGCATTTAGGTATATTTGTGTACATCCTTCTAAAATGAGGTTCCACTGAGATAGTAGTCACTGACCATAGTAACAGTTAACACACTCCATTGGAAAGCATAGCTATTTGTCACCTTGTCTTTAAATTTTGTGAAGAGATATTAGCTCCTCAAATACAGGTTTCATAGTGTTTAATGATTCTTTGGAGGCAGGTGCACAGAATAAGTAGTTTTCTTCTGTGTCAGCAAGTTCATCACTAAGTAGAATTGTTCAACATCTTTACTCAACAAAGACATCTTTGCACATGACTTGCCCCATCACTTGGACTGTTTAAAAGGTGGTGTCAGAATCAACTCTTTCTTTTTGTCACCACAATGTTTGTATGTTATTGAGCCCAACCTGTATTATATGTGCTAGCATAAATACATCAGTAGGCATCTGATCAGTTGTACAACAGAACAAGGAGGCAAAGGTGAGAAGAAGCAAATTAAGAGAAGGTGCTAAGAGCATGAATGTGTTGCTGCTCTGTGTCTCTTCTCTGTTCCAGACTGGGGTGGGGAGCTTTCTACACATGATCCCTGTCTGTGTGATATTTGACTTAAGGATCAGGTATGCTTTTACAGCTCCTAAACCTCGCCTCAACTGTGGTACTCTGTTCTGTTTCTGCTGAAGTCTAGAACTTTCATATTCACACAAGTGAGATGTTTTGACCTTACTTAAGGAAACCTGGAAACTCAAAACCTACAGTGCATAACGTTGACAACTAAATTCTATTTTAAATGCCTTCAGTAAGGATAATGACACTAATATATTTAACAATGTCTTGTAAAATAAGATAATTATCCCCCGAAGTCAGCTCTACCTTTTCTATTAAAGGTGAGGAAAATACAAGAGGAAACATGAGTTTTTTGAGGGACAGTATTTGGTTCAAATTCCTCACATCTGTCACCTTCAAAGATAAGCCCCCTGGCTTTAGTTTATTCATCTATGAAATGTTGACATTTTTAAGTGTTTTATATTGATAAATTTTGAACTCCAAAGTACTTGAAAAATCTATAATCATTTGTCTGATTCAAAGCAGTTGTTATAATAGCGCTGAATAATAGTGATTAGGGCCATGCTTTGGGAACAGCCTTATTTTACCAAGAACTCCTCAATTATACACCAAAGCTGTAACATCTCTAGCCCCAACTATAACAAATTATTAAATTTACCAAAGGCTTACTTCCTCACTTTTGATTTAAAACAAACATAACATCATAGTTCTTTCCAACTCAAAGGTTGTCTATTTTCAGCTGGTAATAGCTAATGTTTTGTTGGTTTATTACTTTAATGACATTCATTGGACAAGAATTACAAAACTGTTAGGGTAAATCATGCCTTTGGAATATTCAAATGATATATTGGCTTCTTTTCAAAAATACTTTTTAAAATGCTGCCTTGAAACACTGACTATTTTGGGATTTTGCCTGATTTTATTTCTATGTTTCTATCACTAGGGATAGAGATTTTTAGAAAACCATTGAAAATCATTAGTTCATCTAGGAATTTTGGTAGAAGAGAATAGAAAATCTAAAATTTTTGAAAGCAGTTTTAGGTATTTTTAATAGCTACAGGAAAGAATAAATAGTATGTTTTAAGTGAGTGAAAATATTTCCAAAGGTAGCATGCCCCACTTTCTTGTGTGAAAGAGTAGACACCAGTTATGGAAGCTGTGTGCATAAGTGCACAGAGAGAATGGCAATGCAACTGTGTTAAAAGCTTCCATAAAGTTGGGGTGTTATACTTCAACACCCCAGCACATTTGGGCACACTGGGGAATCAAAGGACCAAACCAGTCACAGGTGTTTTCAAAATGTGCAACTGAATAGTCCTTTACTTTTATTTCTATACTCTTTAATTTATATCTCTTGCTTCTGAAACAAAGGCTTATTTAAATATAATTAATGCTTCTATCTTAAATACCACTTACAAAGTAGATGAAATGATTAGTAATATTAGCTTGTGAGAGATGGAATCAGGAAGATCAGGAATTCAAGGATCTCATCTACATGGTAAAATTCAGGATAACCAAGGGAGCCTGATACACTTTTTAAAAAAAATAATAATAATATGAAAAGTTGCAAAGCATATGTGAACACTGAAAATATGTCTATGAAAGAATAATCTTCTCATTGAAGTTAGTAAAACTTTTGATGACAAGCATTTTATTCATTTTATTGCTCTATTAATAGCTTGTTTGTCTATAAAAAAAGAGTAAAGTTCACATTCACTTCTTGATTTTGTGAGGATTCCATCAACACACAAGGCATGTTATATATATTTATAAATGTTTGTTTTCATTTAATTGGACTTTGTTATATAAAATTAAATTTAAAAATTATATAAAAAAAAATAATAGATTAGATAGACTTGACTCAGAATAAGAAAAAAAAAGAAAGTTTATAGTCTTCCAGAAAAAATAAATTTTCCAACTTAACTATTGAGTCTTATACTGTAAGGAATATGGTTTTTCCACCTGCCTCCTGGTCTTGTCCCACCGCCGCGCCAGCCTCAATTAACACACCGAGACTCTGTATTAGATATAATTCAGTTGGCCTGGTACTAGTTTCTTATTGGCTAGCTCTGTCTTAAGTATTAACCCATTTCTGCTGATTTATGTATTTCTCTTACCAGGGAGCGGACTGGCATCCTGCTTTCTCCAGACTCTCCATCTGGGCTCCTCCTCCCTACTTCCTCTTTCCTCCTTGTCTCCTAGTCCCTCCTATCTCCTTTCCTATTGGCCAATAGTGCTTTATTCATTAACCAGTATGAGAAACATATATATACATAATGACATCTCCCATCATTATACCCTAACTCTTACATGCTGCTTTTAGTCATACTCAATAGGGTGTTTCTCCAAATACTATCTCTGGAAGGTGGGTGACTGATTACATCTTTACCCCAGCACCAGATACTGAACCTGATATGATCATCAAGAATTATATTTTCTGCATGGGTCCTATCACCCTTCTCAGCCCCAAATAAACACACAGACACTATATTAAGTATAAAACTGTTGGCTAGCTTTGTCTTAATTATTAACCCATTTCTATAATTCTAAGTATTTCCACATAGTCTCTGCTTGCTGGAGAATGTCTGGACCTATTTCTCCTTTTGGCAACTACATGGCAACATTTTCTGGCCTGCATTTCCCAGAATTCTCTTCTCTTAGTCCTGCTAAGCTTCCTGCCTCTATTGGCCACAATGTTTTATTCATCAACCAATAAGAGAAACATATGTCCATAAGGACAACCCCCATTATTTTTATTCATTTTAATGTACTAGAATGATTATTATTGTCATATCTTTAATGTTAAGGGAACTTTGAGAGCAAAGGGTCCACACGGCCAAATGAAATAATGAACAGGATGTAGAAGTGTGCTTTGGATTCATGCCAACATGGCAGCAGCATCAGAGAAGTAGGTGTTCTTTAAAAATTTTCTGTTATTGCTCCAATCAGTCTGTAGCTGCTTCATAAAGAAAAGTATTAAAAATAACTTTAAAAATTAAGCATTATGTGTGTGTTAGAATTAACAGCCAATTCTACGTTAAATATTCAAGTCCCATGCAATTCTTCCATTCATGTTTCCATTAATGTACATTAAAATGATCTTGTTATATTCAAGTTTGAATTTTCCAAAACTAATGACAATAGTAGAACTGACATATACATTTGAAAGTTCTCCACTATTATATGTTCTGAAGGAAATATGGAAATTAAGTGAACCATGCACTTTTCACTCGTCTTATTATTTAGGCAGCAAGATTTTAGGTTATATTTGAAATCTTTTAATAGAAAAAGTAATGGGTAACTTAGAAAGCATTGGAAAATATTTCCTTAATGACTGAATTGGAAACATCGAGTCAGATAAGTTTTGTTTATGAAGTCAATTGGGTTTGTTAGCATTGTACCATATATAACATTAGAAGGTCAATAGAAATATTTTCCTCCAAGAATAGTTTAGATTATCAGAAAACAGTTTCACATCTTCAATATAAACTTTAGCCACAGATCTTGTGAAATTACCACCTAGAATTCATTGAGGACCTAAGGGGACATTCCAGGCTTGTGTCTACAATATTTCTCTTTTGAGAAGTGAGAGATGTTTTTGTCTATATAAATTTTATTTAAATTAGAAGCAATGTTATTTTATTTATAGTAACAATTCCCTCTCTCTCCCATTCTCCCAACCCCCCCTAACCCCCACATCCCAACCCCCAACTTACTCCCCTGGGAGGGTGAGGCCTCCCCATGAGGTACCATCAGAAGCTGTCAAGTCATTTGGGGTAGGGCCTAGGCCCTCCCCCTGTGCATGTAGTCTAAATTAAAGATTTTTAAAAGTCTTAGTCTCTGAACTCAGTAGTTTCAAAGTGTTACCTAATAATAGGACAAAAGTGAGGTTTTGATTTAGGATAAAACAGTGAATTTTATAATTTTTGAGATAATAAAACAGGCAAATTGATCTGCAAAATAAATAACCCATCTATTTCCAAGAAAAAACTACCATTTTCTTATACTTTTTATATTTTTTTTACTAAAATACACCCTAGTTTCTGTAAAGTACTTTGTAATCATTTTCTTTCAGTCAACATGTTAATTTCATACATAATTTTAGGAAGGAATTACTAATAACAAAGGTAATAGATTATTTTAATTTTTTGAGATAACTTTTAATATAAACAATATATACCATATATAAATAAAACAACCAGTTTATTATCCATAGTTTGCAGTTTACTATACATACTTTAAAAATTTATGTTTTTGTAAATATCTAGGAAAGATACTGTTTTGGTTTCCAAATATGATAACATGAAATCAATATGTTAATAATGAATAACCATATAAAAGATCTACATTTTCTTTTCTCAAAAATTAATAAACATACAAGATATGCACTTTCTCATTGAAAAAGGAATAGTTTAGAGACATTTTTCTTACTTTCCAGGAACTGTAATAAATTGAAAAATAATCAATCACCAGATTTTCCTGACTTTTAGTTTCATCTCAGTGTACTGACTAACCTGGATGACAGAAGGTCTCACCAGGTTCCTGTGAGGCTGGTCATCCCATACATATTACTGTTCCTCACTGGCCTGGTTTTATTCTGTCTTCTCTATAAGTCTTCCAAACCCCTCAATTGATTAGGACAATTCCCTAAGTTTTTTTATTGTCCACCAACTGCACCTGTTTCCAGATAACAGTCATTTAACATGTTCCTTTAGTCGTGGGAGTATTGGTCAAGCCTAGTCAATATTATCCACATACTTTTGTCCTGAAAGTCCCTACAGTTGCTTCAATATTTCTGCAACAGTCGTTTTACCCATTGCCCTCCTTTGCTGAGACAAGGCATGCTCACCAGAGACTCCCTGTGAAGTCCATATTAAGCTTGAAGTGAGGCAATGCCTTCCTTTCATAGCCTTTCAAGTTGGACTTAAGGCTCTCACTCTGACATAATTGCTTTCAGATGACTACAAATTTGAGAAGTTTAAAGACCTTACAATGTATTCCATTAGAAGTCTGTACGTGACATTCTGGAATTTTTAATCAGTTGCTGCTTGATTTGATTTGAAATTATTGTTGATCACTTTTTACATTTCTAAAAAGAAATAATCACCATTGCCATGAAAAAAGGAAGTGAGAGTTCTATCATTCTGTCAGCCTGCAATATAAATATGTGAATCTATATTAGCTTTTTCATACTAAATATCTAAGCTACTGTGCACAAATCTGTGGGGTTGGAAATAACAGTCCCTGTTGATGGAGGTGGAAAGAAAATTTCAAAGGGTAAAATTTTATGTCACATGGTTGCCATGGAGATATGAACATCTAACTCAAAATCATGTTTTCTTTGTTCTACACAATCAAAGGGGAGACACATACCTGTCATTGCCCATGATAGCATAGAACCACCATGCCTTGGCCTCATATTACTCTCATTTTGTTTTAGATTTGGTTATAAAAAATCATCTAAGGTAATTTGTGTTACTAATGATTTAAACAGGATCCAATGTCTTGTCATTGCACTGGATGTGAAATTACATTTTAAAATTTGTTTTTCAGACCATAGATTTTGAAGGCTTCAAACTGTTCATGAAGACCTTTCTGGAAGCTGACCTCCCAGATGATTTCACTGCACACCTATTCATGTCGTTCAGCAACAAATTCCCCCATTCCAGTCCAAATGTAAAGAGCAAGCCTGCTCTCCTTTCAGGTGGTAAGTAGGTTTGCTTAGAAGTGAAGAATAGTAAACCTTGTAGCAGAGACTTGAGTATCATATCATAAGAAAGGACATTTGACTGAAAATTGTTTGTATGTTTACAATGGAATTTATACTTAATGGTGATTTTTAAAATATTCTAAATAAATAAACAACACAGATTCATTATGACTTATAATTTGGCATACAAGTCTAATTTTCTGTAATGATCTTAAGAGGCATTTTCATCAAGCTGGAATTTTAAAAAAAATTACTACACAAATATAAGTAGATATATATCTGAAAATATGATAAAAAAGGACTGATACATAGTAAATTTATAATATTCAAAATCAACTATGACATATATTATTATACACATAGGTTTAGAGCTGTGAGCTGAGAACATTTTTTATTTTTCTTACTTAGATTTTGTACAGCATGGTATTTGCTTCATTGACCACATGTAGCTTTTAATGGATGCATAGTGCATTAGTCACTATGGTTAATTAATCCAATCAGGAAAACAGGTATTTCACTGTTTTTTACCCAAGAATATAAAACATGAATTTGTTTAGTAGGTCATGGAGAACTAAAAAAGGATAGCATGTAAACTGAGGTTGCTGGAACAATACAACCTGTATGGTCCTTAGGTTGGAGGAGCAGAAAACCAGAGTCTTGCAGCTGGGACAAGCTCTCAGATAAGAGCAGTTTTGGGTGATTTAACCAAGGATCTCTTTTGTGTAGAACAACTTCCTTGGCAGCTTCTCAGATGGGAAGTTCGGTGGTAACATTAGCAGACTTGAACCTCAGAGTTCTGAATGGGTATAAGGACAGCTATGCTTTACCAATTAGTAGGAGTCTCACTGTGACTCAGATGGTGCTAACTCAAGCTGGAGATGGAACACTTTTGCTACCCAAATCCTGTGTTGTAGGATGAAATGCTAAGGTGATTATTCCAGCAAGAAGCTGACCTTGTGTGTAACATGATAATAAAACACCCAGAGACAGATATTGAGGCTCAAGCTGAAGTTCAAAGAAGCAAAGCAGGCAGACAATAGTTCTTACATCTGCCTCAGGCTGAAAGGGCTGAAAGACCTCTCCTCAGTGTGGCTGAAGAATCAATGCCTTCCTATCATGAATGTGGCTGGAGAATGAATTCCAGCTCTGAGACCCAGTTCCTGTATTAAATACCTCTGATGGGTCCTGGGGTTAAAGGCATGTGATCCCAAGTGCTAAGTGTTATGAGTAGGTTGTCCTGCCGGCCTGGTCCCACAGCCACATCAGCCCCAAATAACACACAGAGATATTATATTAGAAATAATGCTATTGGTCTGTTACTAGCATTTCTTATTGGATAGCTCTGTCTTAAATATTAACCCATTTTCATTAATATAAGAATTTCCATGTGGTCTTATCTTACCAGAGAGAGGGCCCAAAGTTCTGCTGTCCTGGTCCTACATTTTGAATCTCCTCTACCTCTCCCTGAAAACTTCCTTGTCTCCTAGTCCCTCCTATCTTGCTTTCCTATTGGCCAACAGTGCTTTATTTATTAGCCAATAATAGAAACATATTTACAGAATGACATCTCCCATCAGCTGAGATCATCTTAATGTCAGCTGTTTCTCTTAAAACTGGATTGATTTGAGTAGTCAATGTGGCCTTAAACTAACAGTGATCCATCTACCTCTTAATCCTCAATCCTGGGATTAAAGGTCTATATCACCACCACATAGCTTCTATAGCTAACTAGTTGGCTACTTTGCTATTTTGATCTCTAGTGGCTTTAATGAATCATAAACAATATATCACCACACTTTGTCCTTGTTCCCAGATTCTTGTCTCTGACAGTGTGCCTCTTGAGACCTAGAAGATATCCAGTTTACATATTGCATAGTAGTCTTATAAGATTTTAGGTATATTCTGATTCAATAATTAAATTTATTTGAATGATATTTATTAATATTTGATTCATTAAAGATGCAGCATTCTAGAAGTAATGAACCCATCATATTATAACAAAGTAAATCATTTTAGAAATTATTCCTATCCTTAAAAGCAAACCTAAAGTGATTTTTTGAAGTATGAGATTATATTACACTTGAAACTCTTTGTGTATACCTTCCAATTTTTAGCTGTATGATTCCATCTATGCCTGTTTATACTTGTGTGCTATGTCATGTGGTCTCTTCCATATTTCAGCATGCAATCTTGAGAAAGTGAGAATGAGAAAAACACTTAGGATCTTTATGAAAATCATTCGGACATTTCCAATCCCAGAAAGCTCTCAGTCCTCTATAGAGTCACCGGTTTGGAGTACCAGTCATAGCACCATGGACAGCACAGCAGTGTAATGAGAAGGGTGTGGTGCAAAGACCAGGGGTGACAGCAGGAGGATAATCCCTGTACTCTGATGATACACTTTTTAAAATTGTGTACATGGTAGAACCATCAACAGACATAAAACCCAGGCAATCTGATAACTACCCTGCACCATGACACGATGTGCTACTTCCACACAAATGGCAATACTAATTTCTTCAAGTAGAATCACATGTGGTGCCAGCTTTCTAAAATCAAGCTTCCATGGGACAAAAGTTCATTATATATGACAATGGCTAGTCATGCTTATCATAACTGGCTTCTGCCTATTGTGTTTAGTGATTTGAGTATCACTCATGTTACAGTAGCTCTAGAAAGCTCTCCACACAAGCCCCTTTGCTACTGTGTAAGTCATAATAGTTAGAACTGCATGATTTTCTTGACTGCACATATTTAGAAGAGACTGTTTCTATTTTGATCTGCAAGTAAAATTAACATGAGCAACATTGTCATTGGATTCCAAGGAAACAAAATACTTGTTTACCTGTACCCTACAAATGTGTTTGCATTAAATAAGGGAAATTGTCTTTCTAATGACTTCAGTGCTTTTTATAAAGAATTTGGATCTCTAAGTTCCTATTTGCCCCAATAACACATACTAGTCCAAAATAGGAATGTCAAATTTAATAGGAATAACATCCAAATTAGGCTCCAAAATACAGACAAATAAAGCATTATGCAGGCTTTACCTGATTTGTGATAACTTCATATTCTGTGTAGATGTACCTGAAAGCAATAAGGCTTGTGCAACTCTCATGCAGCAATAGTAAATTAATCCAAGTTCCCTTTCAAAGTATGATTCCTTATTGAAGAACTGTGTCCAGCATACTTTCTATGATCCATTCTACCCCATGTTTGTGTAACACCTTTGATATTTTTTCCTGAGGAACAAGAAACAATGGACACAATGCATAAAAGTGCAAAGACTAGGGTATCATTAGACCAGAAATTGAAAACATTTTTTTTTCTATTCCTAGGAACTTTCTTTGAAATAGTTTACCTACACAAAATAAAGTTGCATTTGGAAAATAGCAGGTTTCTTCTGAACAGAAAGTCACTGTAATGACTATGATCAAACTCATAGAACTTCATTTGTTAGAACAATCTCAACAGAAATAAGATATGTGTGTGAACTGAAAAATAAGACCTCCTCGATAAAACAGAATAAAAAAAAAAAAAAAAAAGGAATGAAGGTACTATCACCAATATACTATCCTCAAATATGATAATATTATAAGAAACTAAAATATTCAATTTTCTTTGCATAAAGATGTTAACTATCACCTTTAATCCCAGCACTTAGGAGGCAGAGGCAGGTGGATCTCTGTGAGCTTGAGGCCAGCCTGGTGTACAGAGCTAGTTCTAGGACAGGTTCCCAAGCTACAGAGAAACCCTGTCTTGAACAACAAGATGTTAACTATCATAAATAGTAACAAAGTTTTTGTATATAAATCTAACCATAATCCTAATCATAGCCATAACCATAACTGTAATCATAACCATAACCCATTCATTGACACTGTCACTGAATGCCTAATAATCTGTGTGACATTTTGTGAAATAGAGAAATTAGTTTTGTGAGAATCTGTAATGCCATCTGTTCTACATTATCTACCTTTGGCTTTGGGTATGTGGACCCCCTCCTAACATGCTGAAATAACTCTATCCTGCCACTCCACCTCCTCAGTGTGTTAGGTACCTGATGTAGCACTGCGATACACAACTTCTGATTTCCCCTCCATTCCAAGAAAATTCCCAAGTTACAGATATTACGCCATTTCTTTGTTATAAAAGTGACTCTCACACTCTCAAATGTATTGTGATCTCTGTTTCAATCCCTACAGCTTTAGTACTGAGAGAAATGTTATAAAAATGCATATTGCTACCATTTTCATATGTATTCCCTAATATTTATATAGCCTTGGTGCCTCTTTAGTTTTGGGTAGATGGGATTTTTTACCTTTTTCAATTTGTTTGATTGGTTGTGGTGTATTTTATTTTTTAATGTGGAATATTCTTGGCTATCCTGAAGTCTTTATAGACCAGGTTGGCATAGACCATACATAGAGCTCTTTGTCTCTGCCTGATGAGTTCTGGAATTAAAGGTGTGGGCCACCATGCCTGGATACACCTCTTCAGTTTTAAATCCATCCCTTGGAAAAGTTATTTGGTTTTAAGATGGCCTCTTAATTAAATTTCATTTTAAACTAGCTTTAGTTATTTATTTTATACCCCTCCTTCCTTTCCTTCAGGACCCTATCTTACACCCTGCCCAATCCCTTTGGCATCCACTCCTCTACTGTTTCTGTTCAGAAAGGGGCAGACCTACCACAGGTATCAACGAAGTCCAGCATATCAAGTTGTGCTAAGACTAAGCACCCAGTATGAGGAGAAGGTTCCCAAAAGGCAACCAAAGCATTAGGGGCAGCCCCTGCTCTACTTGGAGCCCCCCAAGCTATACACTGTCACTTGTATATAGAGGGCATAGGTTAATCTTGTGCAGGCTCCCTGGTTGTTAGTTCAGTCTCTGTGAGCTCCTATGAGCCCAGGTTAATTGTATCTGTCGTGTTTTCCTGTGAAGATCTTGGCCCTTTGATTACTACAATCCTTTCCCTCCTTCTGCAGGATTCCCCTAG